AGCAGAGAGCATGATCAACTTTGTGCTGATCCAGCCCAAAGCGCACTTTGCCCTCTGTCAGCCCAGTACCAGATAGACAACATTATCTAATGACATAATGAACAAGAGCGAGCTACCAGGGTATTTACACTACCCTTTTTTTTTTTTTTTTCATCGAAGGCTAACTTTAAGCATAAAAAGTCGAAGAAGTAAAAATACTAAATAGTATGAAACTAGTGCTAAGATGAAGTAAGTCATCTTTAGAAAATTCAACCCATGGTAGGCTATAGGTCCAGAATGGCTCAGTATTCAGTTTTTTGAATGATTTTACTCCATAACGAAAAAAAAATGAAGGCCTACCGCAGCCTGCCAAGCAGCTGTCGGTTACGGAATCACTTTCATGAATTCTTGGATAGAAGTTTGTTGGTAGTGTGTCCTAAGTACCTCCAGGGGGTGCTAGGAGACAGATTACAGTAAGAGAAGTTTTGAGTCCTCAACAGAAAAAAAAATATAGGCCTTTATATTTTGGAGAAAAAAATTACGTCCATGATAGATCCATGCTCTATAATCGATAATATCCATAAAAATCATAAAAATAATTTCAAGTTTGGGGTCGTCAGTTTTAAAATTGTAAATGATGCGTCTGTAATCTTTATGTTCACTTTTTTTTTTTTTTAACCAAATGTAATACGTAGTTTTGGAATTTTGTTATTTTGTACAAAAACGACAAGTTGATAACTATTTCTGGTACAGTCAACCAAAGCCAGTGTATATGAAGATGCTTTATTTTTTGCTCCTTAACCAAAAACGACATGATTACATGTTGATATCATATTTTTTGAGTCAGTGAGCGCCCCTTGAAGGCATCATAATTCATATCCAATGAGACCACGCCCTGTCCACGGTGGACCGCGGACTGTCGCTCTACAGTTGCAGCGCAGACGCGCCTTCTCCAGCTGCCTGCATGGCGATGAGCTAAAGAGGAGGTTTTACATTGGGACCAGCCGGTTAGCTCCTGTAAGCGGGCTGACGGGCGCACACTGAAATGGGATGATGTAGCGGATCAAGTCCCTAGACGAACTGCGCACTCCTTTAGCCTGCTAAGCTAACTTGGACCCGTTGCTATTTTGCCTGGAGTTACCAGCCTGTTCACCGGACCAAGCTAGCGGCTGTGAGCTAACGCAGGCTAGCCTTCACCTGCGAGCTGTACTGCTAACTGTAACTACTGTGGACCTACGGGATGGAAAGTGGAAAGGAAAAAGAGGCCGGTGATCATTTAACTCCAACACCACAGGGGTCATCTGACTCTAAAAGTGACACAATCTCGGCGAAGATAAGTGGATCAGCACCGCTGTCCGCGGGGAAGAGACCCTCCATTGCAGAGGATGAGGGTGGCGGCGCAGAGGCGAAACTCTTCGGGAAAGGACTGGCGGCCACCTCCCTTCTCCAGATTGCGATAAGGAATGGGATTTACCAAAACCAAGTTGCCAACGCTCTTGGCGGTGCGGCCAAAAATATTAACATGCCAACCGCTAAAACCGCCAACATTTATAATCTCACGTCTGCCAATAGCACTACTTCTGTCAACTCTCTGCTGGGGAGACGACGGCAGCGGCACAAGAGGAATTTATCACTCGGAGCTTCGCCAACCACAAGCTCGCCCGGAGTGTCCTCTACAGAGGCGGCCAGCCCCGCTCCCACCGCCTCTCCGCTCAGCACTCTCAGCCTGGACAGGAAGACTTTCCTCCGCCAGAAACAGACCAAGCAGCTTCAGGTCTCTGATAAGGCATGGGTGAGGTCGGATCTCCGGCGCGGTTGTATACATGTGCACGACTGGCTCACGCCCTCCTACCCCCGGCCAGTGCTATGCACTGTGGACACCACTGCTCAGGAGGTGGCTCTCAAAGTAGCAGGGAGCAAGTCTGGGGCTCTTTTGAGAATAACGTGCAAGACTACTGCCTTGGCTGCTTCCAATGATAAAGAGCGGGACGGACAAGGAAGTGACAGTGGAAGTCTGACTGAGGCTTTGGATATCAGAAACCTCAAGGATGACTATAGTGACGACTTAGACTACAGTAAAGGCTCAAAACACTGTTCTCATGATGCGAAACTGCCTCCTAGCCTGTTGTTGGAGGACAAAAATGCCAGTAATTCATCCTCTGAGGTGTGTTTGAATGACATAGGCATGGATCTGAGTCTGAGTGCAGCTGACTGTTATGGAGTGTATTCAGGCTCTGACATAGAGAGCAGCACGTGTGAGGACTTCAGTTCAGGGGGTCCCAGGAGCACAGAGCACAGAGACTCCCTGAGTGAGGGCATTGTGGGGACAGACTCATCAGTGCTGAGCCCAAACTGTGACAGCGCCCCAGAAGACCCAGACCCATTTGAGAGCTCCTCTGATGAAGTCGACTTAGCATCGTCTCCAACACACTCGCCCAGCTCCTCTGCTGCTGAACGACTGCCCTCCTCTACAGAGCCCTGCAGCACCTCCAAACCAGAGAAAAGCACATTAGACAATGATGCTCCAGTGGGCGATAGCACAGAGAGATTAATCACACCTCCATCCAAAAGTCCCAGCAGCTCCCAGACCAGGCCCCTCACAAGCCAGGCATCTGTCCAGGCTGACCCAGACATCCCCAGGGGCAGCAGGCTATGGCCGGAGCCCATCAATACCAGTCCTACCCCTGCCCTCTTCCTCCAGCTGCATGGTGGAGCAGTGCGCAGACTGGAGGATGACGAAAAGCCTCTGCAGATACTAAATGAGTACCTGACCAATCTGGGCTTCGAGGACCCGTGGAGGGTGCAGGAGGAGGGCATGAATCCTGAAATTGGCTGTCTCATTCGCTTTTATTTCGGTGAGTTTTTCAAAGCAATAAAAAACAGATGATAACAATTTTTTTTTGCAATTAGATGCCACAATATTACATTTTAAAAACATCACTATTTTCCAATTATTCAGTATTACTTACACCATCACCAAACGATGGACATATCCTTTCCCTTTTCTTTCTTTTTTTTCCTTCTGTAGTGTGGGACCAGCTTTATGAAATTACACTTTCTGATTGATAAAGTGAAGTTAATGTACAGTAAGCACTTATATTTAGAATTAGTTATGTGTCTAGTTGAAATGATTTAATTTTGCTTCTAAAATTGCCACTTATATATATTTTTTGTGTTGAGTAATAATCAGTGTTTAATTATCTTGACATACCTATTTGCAAGTACCCAGTAGCATTAATAACTAAAATGAAATTAGCATTGTAGTAAACTTGAAAGTATTACTACGTTTACACTAATCTCCTGACTCTAATGTTATTAGGCCATTAGCTGATAGTAAAATGATCTAACTTTGCTTATCTCGTTCATTGTACATCCATTCTCATTGTACCATGAGTGCATTCATTGTGTTTGGTTAGTCAGACTGTTCAACAAGTACATTCAATTGTCCCTCTGTAACAAAGCCCAGTGTTGTGCCCATGATGTAGCCCCTCCCCTCCCTGTGTATTTGTCCTGTACGAGACACATCTGGAGGTAACAGGTGCACTCTTTAGGTGAGCCAAGAGCCAAAAGCTGGTTAGGGTTCATGTTTTGTGTTGTTGTTATTGATATGATCCTGTTTTGCTGACATGCTGCTGTGTAAGAGGATGGAAAACAGCCCTGATCTGGGATTAGCAAAATGCGCCAGTGTTTTTGACCTTGTTTTTGATTTAAACTGGCAGCGAAAACATAAGAAGGCTGTACAGTCTTAAAGATCAATGCATACAGTATTAGTTTCATTATTCGATATCTGTGCATCTGCCATTGTATCAAATTCTCAATACTTATATGAGCCATTGATGTACAGCACAGTGATGTAAAGGGCTGCAACAATTAATCATAATGATTGATGAAAAATAATGATGATTAATGAACTGTTCAAATTACTGTTGACTTTTTAAATAAGCTTTAAGTGTTTTCGGGACTGTACACACTCCGAAAAGCATGCCAGAAATGTTTTCTAACAAAGACAGTGGCGTTATTAAATCCAAATGTTAATAATTTGTCATTTTTAATAAGACAGTAAATATTCACTATTTAGTATATTGTCTTTAAATGAAAAAAAAAAAAATAAAAAAAATACCTCTACAAACATTTTTTGAAATCAGGATTTTTGTAATTTATCAGTTCATATTTCTTCTTTCAAATGTGATGCTCTTGGTGTTGTTGCAGTGTACACTATGAGCAGAATCCTAGTTTTTAACATGTATTCCAGTACTTTCCAAAATCATGCAAGCGTTAGTAATCAGTGCTCACAAGACTAACCTTTGTGTCAAACCACATGCTTTGTGACTGTAGACTTCTCTATTAAAAAGCCCAGAGTTGACCATTGACATTTAGATTTTGATCAGATAAAAATTTTATTAAATGCACTACCCTATATCGATCTAATGTAACACTCAGTAAAATAATTGTCAAACTTAAAAAACATTATTTAAAGGTGCACTATGTAACCTTTTGGTTGGGGGTCCATCACCTGCTTGTTTCTATTGATGTCTCACTGCCCTGCCTGCGCTGCATAAACAACTCTACCTTACATTTATTAAATTACAGGTTGTTTTGTCGCTCAAAAATACCTGGAAAAACAGGAAATCTTGCTTCTCCACAGATGTTGACTTATTGTGGTTTGGTGAAGGTTTAATGCCACAATGTGGAACATTCCATACAAAGTAAAAACATCTCTACAGAGAAAAGCATTTGACAAACCCTCCACCAGAAAAGTTACACAATGTACCTTTAAATCTGAATATTATAATAATCATAATTATTATTATTATTAAAAACATTCAAAGCACTACAAAGTTAACTCCCCCAGTCCAAACATACCGACAACAGTTACACAACAATAGGCTGCCCTTCCTCATGTCAAATAGAAATGGGTGTGTGTGTCCCATTTCCTTTTACCCCCAGCAAAGAGATCCCGCAGTAATACAGGAATGCAGCAGGAATAGTGCACTGCAGATGTAGCATTATGGATTTCACAT